TTCTCTAGAAGGGGAAACCAAGAGTGGAAAAAATGTTTCCTCCCAAAGGGACAGGAAATAAATTCCTTTTCTTGGCTTGCTTCTCACCTGAAATTAAACTATTCCTGTGATACTCTCTGGTGCTCAAGCATTGTTCTATTTATATTTTATCTAACACTCATCTGGAATAGTAAACAATTATTACACAACGAAATAATTCCAAGAATAAGATTTATTATAGGACTGCTACTAGATCCCTCAAAACGAACTACCCAGTATGTTTATGCTTTTTCTGATTTTGGAAAAGAAAATCCATTTTTTTAAACAGACAAGCAAACATTATTTATAGTAAAATATTAGTGTTTTAATAATTAGCAAAACTGAGAAAACTGAAAGCATCAGTTCTTATACAAATGGTGTTTGCAATGATAGTTTGAAATACACAACCTGAGGCTTATTCTCAGTGCATGCAGCACCCCCAGAGTGCTCTAAATATTGTTATCAATGATTGAAGGGGGAAAGTATTAAATATATGACATGAGGATAACCATATTAACTATATTTAATTAAAATGTAAGTGAAATGAATCCAGTTTCAATTTTTGTTCTGATTGCACTCACTACTTTTTGCAATGCAGCCTCTGGCCTAGCACTTAAAGGCTACTTGTAGCACACCTCTGAAACAAAGGATTTCTGCTCTATTATTCACAAATATAAATGCTGTTTTGTTCTGTGCAGGAATTTATGCCCAAGATTCTTGAAATGATCACTGAATTATGGGATACCGACATACATGTTGCTGGACTGAGATTACTGAATGGATTGCCGTGGCCAAATCACATGCAACCCCTCCTGAAAAAGCTCTTGCCCACATTAATGGACATTCTGCAGATGGGGACCAATTTGGCCCAGGTACTATATGGATCAAGAACTGTCCAACACGCTCTAAACCCAAACTCCTAATATCATCAGCTTTGTGGGGGGGGGCACAATGAAGAAGCCATGGTATACATAAGCATCCTACTTTTAATAATTATATGGTCTGAAAGGTTTTTGTTTTTTTCAGGTGCAGATTCTAAAATTCCTTAGCACATTAGCCCAGAAGGAAGAACTGTTATTTGATATCATGAATTGCCAGGTAAAGATTTCCTCCCGACCCCCCACAGGGATATTTGGCAGAGGAAGTAAAATACCCGAGAGCAAGAGTAGATTTTAAGTAGTTATTTAATCAAAGAGACATAAACAAGAACGTAACTGGAAGATACCCTAATGTGTATCTTCCAAACATGCTGACAGTGCAATTCATATCTGAACATTCTGCGGATTGCATCCCAACATAGAGTATGTCAGATTTCAGAAAACAAAATACATTTTTCCTGTCGTGAGATAATTTCTTATAAAAGAATCTGAAGTCTCTTACCCTCAAAAGAAGATGTAACCAATTAGCCAGTAGAACATGAACAGTCCGTTAGATAATCGTTTTATCTTTTTCTTTAAGGTTTACATTTCATTACATTTCCTTTTTTTAAGGTGCATCCAGAATTCCTCAGCCTGTTCCAATCTTCCCAGCTTGGAAGCCTGCTCTTTGAGCTGCTAGTGCTCGTGGAACGACTCTGTGAGGGTCGCCTGACTCCCCACTACCAATCAGGGCACTGGCAATACAATGAGTTGTCACTTCATGAGGTCCTTTTTGGAAACAATTCTCGGCTAGCTGATTGTCTTCTCTCCCTCATCATTCATCCCGAGGAAGAAGTGCAGATTCAAGCCTGCAGAGTTATTCTGAAACAGCAATTAAATGAGGAGGGGGAAATGGCTGGCATCCAGAACACCAATTCTTCTTTAAGCAAATTCTTCTGTGAGATCAATGCTGAAGGCCCCAGTGCTGAACCTATGTATTAGATCCTTGCAGAATTTAACACAGAATTAAATTATCTTTAGAAATATGGAAAGAAAATAATTATTTTGGAAAAAAATAAAAACTTTCAAATTGGAAAATATATATAGGAAAAAAGCAGGTTGGTAGTCAGTCAAGAGGCCAAACAATCCTAGTGGCCTCGCACCAGTAAAAGCAGAAAAACTCTTCCTCAATAATAATATCCCAGAACAGAGCAATAGTGACAGCATCTTAACTGGTAGACCCAAGCCTTGGCCTTCTTTGTGATGGCTCCCTCCCTGTGGAACATCATCTTTGCAGAAATAAAATTGGTCCTCACCTTGACACTCTTTCAAAAGGCCCTGAAGACCTCATTTTGCCAGTGGGCCTGGAGACCCCAAGGTGGTTGGTTTAATTGTTCTTGCCAGAACAGGGGGATGAAGGTTTATTAGGTTTTGTATTGGATTTTATTTTTTTTTGTAAGACCTGGATTCACTGTGAATAAATTGGGCGGCCACATAAATTCCATAAATAAATAAATTAAATACATTAAATAAATAAATAAAATTACCTATAACATAAAAACATAATCAGTTTAAACCAATCAGAGGCCAACATCCCTATGCCTAAGAATCAAATAAAATGTAAGGCTACTCAAGATGCAAACATGGGATTTCCCTGTTCCACCATTTATATAACATGTAGTATAATCCACCCAGTCGGATGATGACCTAGTGTTTTTCACTGCATGAATTAATGAAGTACAAATAGGAATAAACAACTGGAAGTTCTTATACTTTTATCGCTTCACTTATATTCATCCCAGCCCACGCATATTTCCTTTGGATCGAAAAAACAGAAACGGAAGAACAAGCAACGTAATACAAGTCCTGAAAATTTCTGTAGTTGGAGGTTTGCATATAGAATACACAGTGAAAACATGAACATCCTGCTCAAAGGCCTGCTCTCTCAATAATCACCCAAACTGATATGACAGGAAGGACAAAGATTAGTCTTAAACCAAGATTTTAACAAGATACTTGGCCCTCCTCCTTAATATATTCCATCTTGAAAAAGGCCAATGTGGACTGGGGAGGAGACCTTGTGTATTAACGTTTGATAAATTAAAATATTCACGGGGCAAAGTAAGTTCTTTGAGTTGACATCTTCAGAAATCAGTATGCATTACATTTATCAATTTGGCATATAACTGCCCTTTCTGTGCCTGAACTATCAATGATGATCCTATTTTTGGCTATTTCACGGGCAAAGTTGCTTTGGCATGCAGATATTCTAGTTTGGAAGTGCATCAACATTATCTATACACCAGGCTTGGTTTGTGCTTGGAGTCACTTTTCCGTACCCCATGGTTTTCTAGAAAGTGTATCTGGAAACAGGAAAGCCTTTGAAATGGCTTATGGTGTTTTCAAGAGCAGCTACTCAGAAATCTTCTAAATACATTGACAAATCATTTCCTTTCAGAGTCCAACTCAGGAAAGAAATTTCCCCAGCTAAAATAGTCCAATCAGATATTTTACATTAGAACATTTATTTCTCAGAGAGAAAATATAGTTTCAGACAGTCAGATTATAGTAGGTAAAATTAGCATTTTTCTTTACAAGCATAGAATTTATTACCTCTTATTCCATCTGATATAAACAGTTCTAGAAAGCAAATAAACTCACTTTCTACAATAAATAGAGCCATCTGTGCTTTACAGCAGACTGACAAGTCACATTTAGGTCCCATAGCAACAGCAGGATATTAGCCAATTCAAATCCTTAAATTGTAATTTAAAAAAAAATAGAAATTAAAATGCAAGATCTTAAAACAATTAAACATAAATCACAAGTCAACAGCCAGGCTACAATCTGGGGAAATGTATGTTTCTTTAAATTAATTATACTGTATGCATACAAAAGACCCAGCAACACAACTGAGGACTTAAGGATTAACAATCGGCCTGAATAATTTAGAACAGTAGTTTACAGTTATGTACAAAAGTTCCTTCTGTAACCACACTCTTGAGATATTAACTATTTTTTTTTTAAAAAAAGATTCTTATTCATGTTCTGTATATGTTACAGATATTTCCCATTTGGTGTGGTTTTATGTCCCAATGTACAACATGTGGTTCTTGAAAAAAAGACCACATAGAAATGGCAGTGATTTTCCCACAATAACATTTGTTCCACAATCTCTTCATAAGAAAATAACAACAATAATGAAGTGAAAAAGGAAGAAAAAAAACCACAATGGTTTTCAAATTACAATCTTGCTCTGTACCTTTGGTTTGAAATTCTTAAAAGAAAAAAAAAACTTCATAAAATCAAATGTTACATATGAAATACATTGTCAACTTGCAGGGTTCAGCTCTTCCTCTTTTTGTAGCGTATGCAAGTTAAAAAAAAAAAAGGTTTCTCCAAGGGGTTGTGCTCTATTTTTAACAGATCCCAATAACGGAAGCTCAGAGAGCATGAAAGCAAATGCTGAAGTATTTATGGGGTGGCCAAGAGTGACTGTAAGGAATTCTGGTGAATAAGATGACAAACACATTCCAATTTAATTCTCATTTCTTCAGGTAAAGAGGAATCATGATTCTACATGATTGCCCTAGTCCAGAATTGCCTACATCAAAGTACATATGGCACTCTAAATAAGCAGATACTTACTACTGAAAGCTGGAAAAAGTTCTAAATGTGCATTGTGATGCTTAATGGCCCAAACCCAAACAAGGCGATGCTTCCATGTCTAGAAATCCTACAGAACGGACAGGATGCTGTGGTTTTCTGAAGAACAGGCATGACAAGTGAGACAGGGCTTCAGTGACATTGTTCATGAAGAGGGGCAGTGGGGTGGGGAAATGTTTTTGATACCATAAAGATTGCTTTTTCCTCATTTCACAATAAACCTTCATATCTAGCAACGACATTCTAGCAGCATAAGTATTTGTAAAATAACATTTAAAATATTATCTTATCCATTTTCAGAAGTATACGAATCTGAAATTGAAATGTAGAAATCACAGAAAATATCTCCCAAGGGGTTTCTTCATATTTAAAGCTCTGTGAATGTGAGCATGACAGAAAATCAGGAAAGGGGCATTACCCCCCAAATATTCTATCTTTCTTTTTTATTGTAATCTCTAACATAAAAGCATATACAAATTTAGAGATTTCTACACAGGGTTGCAAATTTAATTGAAAGGGGGAGGGGGACCAGTGTTTTTCAAAAATAACATGAAAATATATGGGGAATATTAGTGAACATTTGGCACACAAGAGTCATCAAAAAGACCCTCAATTCATAACAGAAGCAATAAACTCCACAGCTGCTTCAGGACTAGCTGAAGTTTAAAAACTCAAGAGTCTGGTAGGGCTTCTTGTTCAATCAGCAAATTATCTAAGATTCTGTCAGGGTTGCAGCATTATAGTGCAGCTGCTCCTAACATCTTCTTACTAGGTCAGGCTGCTACATCACTTCTTTCCCACCTGGATCCTTTGGGAAACATGTTCAGAAAGAAACCAGGCAGACTTTTTGGCACATATCAAGTATGTAACATGAACTTTCCCTACTGTTGGAAATACCGTGTCTCTACTAAGAATGCAAATATGGCAATTGTATTTTCCTGTAGGCAGGAAAATACCATATTCCTCAGGATATAGTTGATCCACTTTGCCTGCAGATGCAGACATTACTTCCTACAGGATGGGTAGAGCAGGTTTCCTACAGATAATTGGGTGTGACGAAAGGATGGTCTCCCCGAACGCGGCTCATGTGAATCATTGCACGGTCATATGCAACCTGGACAGACTTGCGGATACTGGTTTTCCGTCCTTCCAGCATCTTGAGTTTATCCACAGTGTCATCTACTCCAAGAGGAAGAACTTTTTCTTGTGGAAGCCACTGCCTAGAGGAGGGAGAGGGAGAGAGGGAGAGAGGGAGAGAAAGAGAGAGAGAGAGAGAGAGAGAGAGGGAGGGAGGGAGGGAGGGAGGGAGAGAGAGAGAGAGAGAGAGAGAGAGAGAGAGAGAGAGAGAGAGAGAGAGAGAGAGAGAGAGAGAGAGAGAGAGAGATCATTATTATGGAGACAATGAGGAAATTGAGAGCACTACAAATTGTACAAATCAACCCATTCTATGACTTTTAAATGTTCAAGTTGCACTAATGCCTGATAAAGTGTTAGTAAATGTATACTCATTAGCAAAAACAAGCTAGAGTGCTTAGTGCAGTTACAAACAGAAGACATACTTATGATTCACTAGAATAGGGGTTCCCAACCAGGGATGCTTGCACCCCCTGGAGGTACGAGATGTTATTCCAGGGGGTGCGAAAATTTGGGTTTTCAAAATTATAGTGTATATGCATAATTCATTTCAAGCTTTTGTAAGGGGTGCAAGAATATATCAGAAGCGTTCTAGGGGTGTGGGGTATAGAAAAGGTTGGGAGCCATTGCACTAGAAGAAGAATCAATTCTTGGCTTGCTACTCAGTTGCATAGCCGAAACCTCCCTCAATCATCAACAAGCTTTGCTACATTAATTAAAATAAATACTTGCTATGCTATTGTCCAAAGAAAAGAAGTTATTCCCCTTCGTTTGTTTATTTGACTCACCATGTCCTCTTGTTGTCAAAGAAAAGGACAAGGAAAAGTTTTTCTCCAGTCTCCGCTTGCTTCTGCTCACCTAATTTTAGCACTTCCAGAGGGGGGACAGGGATTGGGACTCCATTGTGAAGGAGGCCCTCTTGTGGCATCTCAGGATCAATGATCTAAAAGCAAAGAGCAAAAGACAGGGGAGATTTAACACAAGTCACAGAAATTTAGCTCAAAGATATAACTTCAAAAGCCTTGGTTCCAGGATGAAAAACGGATTAACCCTGATAATCACTCTCTTGTACCATGAAGGTGTTTATTGAAAATGTGGCATAAAATATTCCTACACGTACACATGAAGCCCTTACGTATATAAAATTTTGTTGTAACAATTTATTTTATTTTTTTATTATCCTATGGAACAAGGCACACTTTTATATAGTCTGAATCTAATAGATTTCTGAGGTTAAATCATAGATTTTAACTGGATTTGAAAACTCACTTGAAAGTATTAGCACTTATTATGTTTTAGTATTAAAACATGGAATGAAGTTTAAAAAGATATATTAATATGGGAGAATTTATCATTGTTATTGTTAGGGAGAATTTCTGTGATACAAATGAAGGTCTTGTGTAGAATGATGTGTTGTTTTAGACCAGAGGTCTCCAACCTTTCTGGGCTCGAGGACCGGAGGGAAGGAGAGCAGCTTCAAAATTGTTGCATGCGCGTGTGCACATGAGGCCACGTGCACTGGCACGGCACTAACAGCCCCGTTCACATGAATGGCTGCACACCCCCACGGCGGTGAACGGGCCACACAAACCACCCAGGCAAGCGGCGCATTCGCAAACGGGCTGTAGACACCTGCCCTGCGCTAGCATCTGTATTTGCGCCTGCGTGCCTGCGCAAACAGGACCACGAGCACTAGCGCAAGTGGGGGGAATGTGTGCCCACGCCTGCGTGCACCAGCCAGCCATTTCTGCAGCCTGCTGGCCAAGAGCCTGCAGCCCAGTCTCGGGCCGCGGACCATAGATTGGGGACCCCTGTTTTAGACAATACCTGCTTTGACAACTGATGCACCGTTTAACAATGGCAAAAGGATATATTTAAGTTTGTGTGGCAGGCGAAAATGACCAAAGGTTAAATATATGGTATTATAATATGCAAAAGAAAGAGTATTGGGTTTATCTGATTTGTAATTTATTTTTGCAACATGGCTGCAAAAGGACGTGACCCGAGATTTGGGTGGCATGGTTATTTGTAGTATAATAAAATCAAGATTAATGTGGATTTTAATAATTATGTTAGATGTACCCTTTAGATATTATGTTAGATGTACCGTATTGAGAATAAGAAATAGAGTCAAATGCATAGATTGTGCCCCGATAACTCCTTTGTAAATCTGACACAGAAGCATTTATAGATGAGAAATACGCAAATACTCAAAAATCTTGATCAACTTTTTGTGCAAAACCGAAGAAAATGAATTTGTATAGTTTTGATAATAGGCAGGGCATATTAGAGAAAGAGAATCATGATGTAACTAGAGAAAGATGTAAATTTATAATTATATTTATAACCACCACTTCTTTGTATTCTTTCCTGAACTTTAGCTTTTTTTAATTTCTTTTTCTTTTTTCTTTCTTATTTTATATTAGTTGTATTAGTATTTATCTCTTTCTTTTAAAACGTTTAATAAAATTATTATTTTAAAATCAAAAGTATTAGAACTGCATTTTCTTTGTACTTCTCAGTTACATTGTTGGAATTTATATAATGTTACATCATCATCTACCTTAAGGCAGATATTATTTCAAATTTACTTTGTGAAAAGCAGAGTAAAATATTATAGAATAAATGAGTTAATTTGGCATTTTGCTGTCATGATAATGTATTTTTAGAATAATATTCTAAAATTCTAGATTCCTAGTACTAGAGAATGAACTATTAGTAAACACAGAGAGGAGTCTAACTCAGAAAAGTGAAAAACAGTAATTCATCTTATAAACATTAACCCACAATATTATTATACAAGTTAATTATTACTAATTTCATTTACTATTTATTATTTAAACTCAATCAATTTTGAACAGAGCAACATTAGCTGTATATATAAAATGGAGACTTAAGAATATGACTTTTAAATTGAAGGAGAAAAATAAACAATTAATAAACACAAGTAATAATTAAACTACCAAACTGAATTCTGAAAATTCAAATCTATCCCAAATAATCTTAAAATATTTAGAGGCTGTTTGGTGTTTCAAAGCAGGTATACTATTTTGCCTTTCAGCAGGAAGTAAATATAAAAATACTGAGTGAGATTGTTCTTATGCACAATTCTTCAATAGAATTAACTTCTTTTTCCAAGAAGAAGTACTGCTGGCTTAGCCTTAGGTACATACCAGCGCTGGGTAAGAAGGATAGCCACGACATTTTGCCCACACAAGCTCCAGAGGTTCTAGGTCAGCGTGTTCTTCAAATGACATCAGCAAGTTTCTTCCTAAGAAGTTACAATAACAGCCAATTTAGGATTATGTTGTGCTATGCCAGATTCATCAATCATAACAATGAAGATTCAGTGTTATTGCTATGGAAGCATAGACTGTACTTAAAGCTAGGTCTTACAACTAATTAAAATAGATATAATAAAACAAAATTGAATAAAAATAAAAATAGCATATTAGATAAAGAAGGCAATAACTTATAAATTATCCTACCACTTTCTTCTTTTAAACTGATAAAAAAGAGTCTCTAATAATCGATTTGGTACAAAAGAAATATACTGCAAATTAGGCAGGACAATCCTATGATGTTATTAGGGCAAAACTCATGAATGTTACCACAATGCCAGTGAAACAACTGCCCTATTCTAACCATCCTCAGTCTTCTAAAAGGAGAACAACCCAAGACACAAATCATCTACTAGCACAGGAATGACTGATAAAAGAACTGTCTTATGTCCTTGCATACATAACCGATATTTTCACCAACAAATTTTGGACTACAGGTGGTCATCGACTTACAAGTGATCACTTAACAACAGACTCAAAATAAGTTACTTACAACCTGTCCTCAAAGTTATAACTGTCATATCACTCCCACAATCACATGATCACATTTTGGGCACTTGGCAACCAGTTTATATTTATGACCCATGATCATGTTTTACAACTTTTTTTTTTTGCTATTTTCTGGCAAAAAAAACACCCTTTAGATAAGCTGGGTTTGGATTTATGAACAGCTAATTCGCTTAATGACTGACTGTTTCTACAAAGTCTTGCAGAGTCTCATTGTTTAGTATAGACAAGCATTTTGTACTGTGAATACATTGTATAAGATTTTAATTGTCTTTACTCAGCATTCCTATATCCATAACCTGTTCCCCAAAGTAACTGTATTCCATAATGTACTATAATTATATAATGTGGAATAGTTAAATGCATCAAGTAAGGGGATTTGATAGAATGAAAACTGCTGGCTGAAGCTATGACTCCTGAGAATCTTCCTCATGATTAGGCCCTCTACAAAAAAGCACTGCTTTTTTTGCTGGAGCAAAGGTAGTTCCTCCCCATTCCCGGCTGTCTTTCTGAGCTCACTCACATCTTCGCCTTCATAGGAATAGCAATAACACTAAGACTTATATACCCCTTCACAGTGCTTTACAGCCCTCTCTAACCGGTTTACAGAGTCAGCATATTGCTCCCAACAATCTGGGTCCTCATTTTACCAACCTCGGAGAAATGGAAGGCTGAGTCAACCTTGAGCCAGTCAGGATCGAACTCCTGGCAGTCAGCAGAATTAGCCTGCAATACTACATTCTAACCACTGCGCCACCACAGCTCATGACAAATGGCTGAGAAGGATAAGGAATTTGGAAATGAATTCTAGCAGCTGTTCAGGGAAATAGATTATACCACTTGCTTAATTTCAGAAGCTGCCAATTCTGACATCACAGGTTTAAAGAATAAATTGACAAACTGTTCTTGTGACTATTCAAAAGCAAGCCCCACTGAATTTGGTAGTGCTTAACTCCACAAAAATATGCAGAGAACTGCAGACTTATTCTCCTGTGGCACAATCAACATGAAAAATAGCACCTATATCTTACTAATATTAATTTCATGTGCATATTTTATCTCACCTGAGTTGCTATATGCCAAATCTTTATTTACACCATCCAGAAAAGGGACCCGTGTAAGAGCAGGCTTTCCTCGGCTACGTTTATGTGGTGGCGGACTACTGTGAAAAAAGGAGGTATGACAAGAAAGTTACATAATAAATAACATTTGATAGTTAGCGTCAGTTCAGTTCGCATCATGTCATGAACTAAAGGAAACCAAAGAGTCAAGTCACAAAGGAGTGTTATTTTCTGGGATGGTCACCATGCTAGTGTGAAAGTCATTCCTCTGGGCTTGATATGCAATTTCAGCATCCTTTACATGATATGGATATCTGCAAGGCAACTGAAACCACATGAAGAAAAACAAGGACAAAATAATTGCCAAATGATTGATTGATTGATTGATTAACGGATTGATTGTTTTCTATTTCCTATATCTAAACTGCTCATCTCCCTCAGAGAGGAGCTCTGTTATGTCTTTAAAATAATGATGAGCTGCTTCCAGGAATTGTATAGGAGGAATGAGGAAGCAAGCAAATGCCAAGGAGGCTTCACACTGTTGAGAAAGATAGACTATGACAAGGTAAGAAGAGTTAGCCCTACAATTTCTAGGACAAAAGTTTGGAAGTAAATCTAAAAGCATTTAGATGTTTACTGGACAAGCCAAACTATTTTTTTTCGTAGGAAACTTTCCTAAAAGTTGGATTGGAATTTATTCTTGACCTTAAAATACCCATATATCTTGGAATCATCAGGTAAGTTAATTTTAAAATATTAGTGCTAAATGAAGAAAGAGACAGAAAATAAATATGCTACTAGGCAGGGATTCCTAAACTTTCTGCCACCACACCTGCCATATCTTCCTTTAGTGTAATCTTAAGGTGTATACCTCCTATAAAAATCCAATCACCAAAATGGACACAAATGAACAATGAAAATAATACAATGAAACTTTGGAAAAAGTGGATTTGTTTGCAACCATATATCGTAACTAAAAGGTTCTTCACACCTCCCCTGGACTTTGTCTACACCTCCCCAAGGGAGATATACCTCAGTTTGGGAAACTCTACTATAAGGTAAAAATATATTGCAAATATGAGTCCTACCATTACTACTGTGTTGTAGGTTGCCCAAAATGTAAGGCAGGAGCAATCACTTTCACTCTGAAATCTGCAACCTACTACATATATAAAATTAGTAGAATTCTAATTATTTGAATGCAACCACCCCAAAGAGGTCTTACCTGCATATGTCCAATGAAAGACCGCTGCCCCGTCCAGAGCTACATTCTGAATCAGACCCACTTTCTGTATGCTTCTTGAAGCCATTGGTCACAGCTGCTGAGGAGACAGACGACAACAAGTCTAGTTACACATAATATTTTTCTTCAAAAGATATTCAGAGATTCATCAAGGAAAACTCAAACACAATTATACAGTCCAGCTAATGAGGTTAGACGAGCACATTCAGTTACATTCAGAATGCATTTAAGATTTAAGGCAACAGTTGGCATAACCTTCCTAATGTTTGTGCACAGTGGCAGCCCAGGGGCATTTCCCATCTGGATATCTACTAGAGACCTGGTTGTGCAGTAAAATGAACTTAATGTAGCTGTTTTGGCAGTCAGAGAAAAGTTTAGGAACATTCACTTTCACAACTTCATCGTGCTTAGGGAGACTCAGGTGTAGGCATAGCAGAGCTTATAATGTTGCTTTAGCTTTTCAAGTCTGAGCCAGAATCACCAGCATCCCGTAAGTTCCGAATTTCATTTATGATGCCATTGTGTTGAACCCAATAAAGCTTTATGCGGTTAACACAATAGATTGCATTAATCCAGATAGAGTAGCTGTGGGGCAGGAAAGTGAAATATTTGTAAGAACCCACTTATTAAATGATGCACAATAGACCCTGGGGAAAATGTGAGCAATTTTAACTTCTTGTCCTAATTACACCATAACATTTGAGTTTAAAGCCCAATGGAGATATTTATCAAAGTAATTATTCTAGGGACAATCTCATTAATAGAATCCTACATTTCCTTGAACCTCTCAGATGGTATTTTTCCAAATAAAGTTAAGAGGATAACACTTTTAGTTTTATATGCACATTTTGCTTTTTGTTTTATTTCCAAAAAATAATAAAGAAGCCAATTAGTTCCAAATTATCCTTTCAAACTAATAGAACTCATTCAAAATACATGTTTACTGCATTTCCAACTGCATTGTTTTTCCCAGCATAAAAGTCACTACAAGGTAATTTTATCTTTCTTCTTGTGCATTATTACAAAAGGAGAAATAGTAGAATAAAACAGATAATTCAATGCAGTAGTTGGGGGGGGGGAGTATTTCAAGGATTATATTCTGCAATCTTATGCAGGTGCCCTGACCATCAGGAGAATCTTGAATATACTGTAGTAAAGTTGGAACATTTGTATGTATATGAATATTTACTGTCTTTCTGTAAACATCTCCTAGGTCAAGAAGTGCTAAACGTTATAGTTTCTTTAACCATTTTTTTTAAATTAAAAGTTATGTTGGACACAGATAACTGAAAGGGAATGAAAACACACAGCATGCAAACCTAATATATGGATTATAGATGATCTCTGACACAAAGTTTTGAGATGACAAAGCATTAGTTTTTAGTATGATTATAAATATATAGTTCATATTGAATTGCGTACTTAATATTCTACGTATATATTTAGATTTTGCCTGAATATAACTATCCCATAAAAATAGTACTGTGTATCAATAATTCTATCAGTCCCTCATAGAATTAATTTTGGAATAGTCTTCCTTCCAGCCATTATTTTTCAATTGCTAACTCTTTTATCCCTATCCTTTTAAATTGTTGTTTTAAAGTTTGATTATTATTATATTCATTCAAAAGGGCACCTCATTACTTTTCTTCTGAGAATATGCATTTGTTTCTGACTTTATATAATCCCAATATATTATCATGCATTTGTACTATAACAAAGGTGGTACTTTTCTCCCTACTGTCATTTCCTTTATTATGACGATTCTAAAGAAAAAAATTGTTTAACTATCTTCTATATATTCACTAATACCTGTTATTATATGTATTATAAAGTGTAAAGGTATTAAAAGTAGTAATATTCTTGGTTCTAGAAGAAGAATGTGCATATAGAGGAAGATAAATTTTAACATGGAAAGGGTATAAACATATATTCACTTTTGAGCTTAGTTCTTATAGAATAATTCCCATCCAACTAAAGACATTGAAAATGGGAATAAAATTTACAATGATGGTATAAAAGGAAATCCAGCTGTCTTGGGAGCGATTAATAATAGCATCACCACATACTGTTTAGCCCTCCTGCCTATGTAAAAGGGGTTTAAATGCTTTAGTTTAGAGATATCAATGTCAATATTGCCTTATTTGCCTGATCTGTTTGAGGTTTACATATGCTAAAAGTGTTCCAGACCTACTAAAATGACAATTTGCCATTTTGTTTCAGGATGTGTAAGAGCTACTATTTTTTATTATGATAATGCATTTCATTTAACTAGAATCAAGACTGAGCAGTAAAATCGCCAAAAAGTTGCCAACACCCAAATTATTCCTGATGTAAAATGCTCCAAAAGGATATCTTCAGATTTGGTGAACTGGCAATTGAAGGGCAAATATGATTCAAACGGCCATTAACTGATTAAATATTAGACTGAACAGGAACAGGATCTCATTGTCATAGAAAATAGCTAAATGGAACCACCGAATCAGCATTCAGGATGAGAAAATATTGGATTCCATGGGTGACAGAATAACAGTCAGAGGAACCACCACAAACTTGGCTCTCAAATAAAATGCTCCTCTAAGCATTCATGAAATACATTAGCCTCAAGAAGTCTCCCTATGGATGTGATTGTTGTTGTTGTTTTTTTAAAGATCCATATCACCCCCTCAAAATACAAGGATGAAACCATTCTATTTTGTACAGTATTACCACTGACAGTAATAAACTATTTGATCTTATTTTCTGCCAATTAGTCTTCAGTCTTTTTCTTAATAAATGTGTCCTTATAATTATCATGAGAAGAAAAGCAGAAAACTCCCTTTTGTTCACTATATAATTTTCTAATCAGGAACAAAAAGATAAAAAGGATGGAATCTAAGAGGAAGAAGTCTGAATGAAAAGAGTTTTCAGCAGAGTATTAGAATCTTTTGGTAATCACTGAGCTGTCACACAAATGCCTCAAATGGGAAAAATAACCGCTGCGCCTACTAGCCAAACTAGAATATGAAACTACCCTGATAGTTTATTATTTTAAACAACAGCTGTAATGTAAGCCTAACACACTAAGCTGATTGCTTCTGCTGAGCTCAGAAGCAAAGCAGGGTTAGGCTTAATTAATATTTGGACTGGAGACCAGCAGGTGATACATAAGACCAGCTATTGTACATAAGCCTTTGAAGTAAGACTACACAAATGTATAAAGCATGGATGCAGGCACAAACACACATCACTGATTATGTGACACCGATTATGTTGACTCTTCGCAACCACATAGATATTCTTCATGACGATCCCTAATGTGCTCCTTCAATTCTTCCAATGGCACCCCCATTTTTACTGTAACTGTACCTTCAACAACCCAAACACATAAAAATCAAAACACCTTGGGATATACCTAAGTGGGAGATTTCACCTGCTGCAAGTTTCTCAAAATTGGATGCTCCTGAAATATGACAATTCTCACAAAACATAACTCCTCGGTATTAGATTGAAGAAGACAGACTCATGATTTTAACATATTATCAGAGTTAAGTACTACTTAAGAAAACATGTATATTAAAATTACTGATATATATTTTGTCTCTTTTAGACAGTTTTCAGGGAAGTTTTTGTTATTCATAGATCATTCTGTTGCTTTTTACTTGATTACTCTATGCCACCCAGAGTCACTTCTTGTGATATGGGCAGCCATATAAATTTGATAAGACAAATAAAAGTACTCTGTGGAGCACATAAGTAAAAAATACTGCTTTTGGAATGGTTATCCATTCAACATTCCCAAACTGGATTATGAAGGAAAAGCCTCTCATAAAGCCTTGTGTCAACACTGCTAATATTGGATGTTTTTGCATTGACAACAGATGGAAATGTAGCCATCTTTTACCTTTTGCTTTTAGAGTTAGATGATACTGGGAGGGGGGATGTGAACGAGAGTCCAGCTAGACATAACAACACTAAACCTAGTGTGAGAAACAAGGTTATTGTAACCAGAGCTGATAAGGAATTGGCAGGCTGGAGAACTGGAGAGGAGGTCCAGCTTCAAGCTAATTGGGGAATGTGATTTATGACTGTTAATTGAAGGAGGGAATTGTGCTTTGATACTATGTGCTCAGGTGAGGGGAATTCAGTTTTTGGCTTCGATTATGCAGTGCCAATATTATGCTACTCAAAATAAAGATTCTTTAAGATAAATAATGCCTCAAAGTTCTTTTGAAGAGTTTCATCTGTCAGAACCATGACACCTTGTTTCCTAAAGTAATTCTCGCTATATATAAAGGATAATTTGATCCTCTCGCTTTTAAATATTGAAATAATATAAGGGCTCACAGATCAATGTTCACTATGTAATGACTGCAGCATCAAATGTTAACTGCCACATGTGAATAAACTATTAGAGATCAAATATCATTGGCAGAACTTCAAATATGAGTATTTTCAAATATGTTTTTCAGGGGAGCCTGATCACACTCACTTATGAGTCATCACATGAGCCCTAAATTCAGAGAAGCGATAGATCCTGCTGTTTAATATTTCAGATCTTATAAATAAGTGAAGTTTTAATATTGTTGCATTTTTCCAGGCACCATCAAACTTGTGTTTGGCACATTATTTTGTTCTATTTTAAAAGCAATGGAGAAGATTCTGGTGTTAACAGCAAATGTTCACTGAAAAAAAATTTCAATAATGTCAGGATTCATTCCAATGAAAGAGTTATAAAAAGTAATATACATAATGACTGATCCCCAAATAAAAATATGAAAAGAGGTCTAGGCAAGGGGAAACATTTTTGGGATGAAAATAAAGAAACTTATACCCTTTCTACTCTTATATCTCAAACTATTAAATGTTCTAAATCCTCCCCAAAACAGTCCTAGCAACAAAATAAATAAATAAATAAATAAATAAATAAATAAATAAATAATAAAAGTAATCCAATCAATTACAAATCAAAAGGCCAGCATATCTTCTGCAACTCAGGCTAATCCTCTCTTTGAGGCCCATAGCTTTCTCTCATCCTTAATATCACTGGAGCCTGGTGTGAAGGTTCCTATGACAGAAACTACACAGAATCCAGTGATCAAAGTGACTCAGGGAAATGCTGGATGGTACAGAGATATGGACATTTCTTGCCAGCCAGCCAGCAGATACCCTTACTCTAGAAATCTCTGACTTTCCAAAACATCAGAGGAATGAAAGCTCAGGGGAGTCACCTGTCACTCCTGCCTGCCTGGGGGATTTCTCGTCATCGCTCTCGCTGTAGCTCCCACTCTGTGGCTGTTTCCGAGATGGCTGCTCACCCTCTATGCTGGAGGGGGAGAGCTGCCCACTTTGGCCGTGGTCCTCTCCATTCTCAAGGGGACAGTCCAGATCTCTTTGTAGTTTCACCCCGTTCTTGGCTTTTTTAAAAAGGACAGAAGTCCGCCTGCCCACTCCACTAAACGGGGGGCTGGCAGAAGTGCCCGTAGCCTGAAGGGCCAATCCATTCAGGCCGTTGTCGCTGAGCAAGCGCTGGAAGGCGTGGTGGCTCTCCCTCTGCAGCGTCTTCTTATCAAAGAGCTCACCCTCGGACTTCAGCCGTTTATGCAGTCTGTTCAAGGACTTGCTTTCGCTAATGGGTTTGAGAGTTGGAGGGTCCTGCAGAGAGTCCAGCTCCGATAGGGAGGGTGCAGGTCCTGTGGGCTCCAGGGTAGGGGGAAGTGGGGGCTTGGTGTCATCTGCTAAAGAGAAAAAGAATCTGCTTGAACATTTTACAAAGTATTCCCCAAAGTAGGATCACAGCTTTCTGTTTCCTCCTATGATTGTAAGTCAATGGTACATCAGTTAAATAACTACTTTTTGTATTATGTATTTAAGGGAAGCGCTCCAAGCATGGGAGAACAAGGGAGAGAGAATCTTAGCTAAGTCTTCAGAAGGAACTATTATGACTCTCACAAGAGCCAGGAAATATCATTTATCCCATGGTATTATTTAGGATGGAAACTCTATGCAAATTTTCTTAATCCCCCACACATTAAATTTAGAAAGATTTACTTCTGAGTAAATATGCTGAAAACACTGAGCTGCATGAAATTCATTTCCCCATCTTTCTTTACTCATTTTTTCAGATTCTAATACTTTTTCAAGTACTTAATTCCCTACATAAGAGGATCCGGACATATGAAAGGTCTAGAGATTAAAGAAGGAGAATTTCAAATGCAGTTCAAGTCTCCTTAAAGAGATGAAATCCTGCTTCATGCACACTAAAAGCAGTCACTACTGTTATTTTTTATTTCAAACAAAACAAAACTATCATTGTTTGTTGCACAGTTACCAAAACATTCAGAACAGTCCAGATTTCAGACATATTTCTTGTTCTCTGACACAACTATGGTATGGTTGAAACTCATAACAGAATGAAATCACACTTGCATTTTTTTCCCATTTTCCCATTTAGATTCTCTTTACATCCAAGCATTCAGTCTAAGTTAAATTATTCTCTCCGTGCCCTAAACCATATAGCTTTCAACACAGATGACCAGGGCAGAAAGTCAATGCAACAGATGATGAAACATCCACGATAACACAACATACATACTTGTATCAGATACTAGGACGCAAGTATGCAAGGACACATTTGTTTGATGGAATCATTGGATTTATGCTGTCATTTTATCATCTTCCTCATGCTATTCCTTTACCATATCCATGGAAGAAGGAATGACTCAAGAATTTCGTAACAAAATTAAAGAGTGCTGACTGAAAAATACCATACCAAGTATTTTATTTCTCCATGAATGAGAATGCTTTTAAATGTTATTATAATTAAATCATCGCAAAATACTGCTAAAAGATAGCAACATTCTGTAGTTGCTTCACTAACAGTTAAACATAATTTAGTTTCCCTTTATGGGGCAGCTGACCGTAAGTGTGTAATTTCTGTGTGTGGAGTGTGTGGAGAAGGTCATTTCAAAAGTTTTCATTTGCTGCCCTATCTTTCTTCTGGTCTACAGAACAGCTGTTTCACATCTTCTGTTCTTATAATTGGAGTGCTGTTTGAATAACAATAACTTTCTCTACAATTATTGTTCTCTTGCAAAGAGTTACAGGAGCCTAAACATCTGATATGTGACAAAATACTAAAAGTCTTTAGTCTATAGTTAGAAGGGTACACATATTTTTATATTACAGGATTCTAAGAAAAAATACATTAAGCAATTTTTGAACCAAAAAGTAAAAACAAAGAAACATGTAATGAACATTGTTAATTAAAATACCCTTCTCACTTCCAGACTAGTTTTTAGAAACAGCAAGGAAAGAGGATGTTTCTCTGTCATTTTCTCTTGCAGCATGTAGTAATACTTACAAATCAATTATAAACCTTGGAAAACATATGTTGTATTAAAAAAAACACATTATGCTACTAGTCATGGACAAAACGGAAGTGGAAATGGGCATAACATTCTGAGTAGATATGAATAGGACTACTGTATACTGCAAAATCTCCATATGCTACTTTTAATGCTACCTCTCTTTTAATGCATTTGTCTCTCCTTTCATGACAGCCATGAAAAGGGTAGGAAGAGAAGTAGAAACTTATTGTGTGAATTTGGAATTGGCTACACTCCCAAAATGGCAAAAGGCTGCATGGAAACACAAATGTCACAATGCAGAAAGAAACTACAGACCAGCAATATAAGCAGTCTTCATCTCTGAGGTACCAGTTAGGGAAATACTGAAACTGCTATAAAGGTAGTCCTCAACTTACGACTGTAATTGAATCAGGAATTATGATTGTAAATCATGTCGGTTGTTAAGCAAGTTATCATGTGACCATGTCTGATTTGATGACTTTTATGGCAGTCGAAAAAGGAACATGGCAGTCATAAAGTGAACACTGCAGTCATTAAGCGAATGGGATTGAAATAAACACTGGTTTCCAGCAAAAAAGGTCATAAATCACAGTCATCTGACTGTGAGATGCTACAAACACCTATAAATGTGGGGCATTGTCAAGTACCCAAAATGCAATTATGTGACTGTGGGGGAAGGAAGCAGCTGTAGAAATTTTCAATCTGGATTGTAAGTACTTTTTGGAGGGTCCATTTGGGATAACTTTGTATGGTCGCTAAGTAACCAGTCATAAGTCAAGGACTATTTGTAATTGCTCCAGAATGCATGCCAACTTATCCTGTTGCAAGCTTAGGAAAAAAAGGTGGGCAAAAGTTTACTTAGTACTATTTTTAATTATTAAAGTGATGTTATTATTATTGTCTTTAATAACTGTATATTTGTCTAAAATAGAGTTAAAGGAGGTTATAGATATGTTATCTTAATAGTTGATTAATGTTAATTAGAGTATGATTATTTTATTGTCAACCCTGTGATTGGCTCTGGGAAGTGAGGGGGGAGGGAGGGGGGAGTGGAAGGGTGGGTTTGGGGAAGGGGGGGATTTATATTGTAAAATTTTATAAAATTTTCAATTAAAAAAAAAAGTTTGTCATGTTATAGCTGAATAGCTGAGAAATCCTGAAACCCTGAATGTGAAAATAATTAGCTTTGATAAATGGAACTTTATTCTGAGGAATACTAGATGAACAGAGACAGGATACTGCAATATGGATAAATCAAATCAGCGGTAGATAGCTACAAGGCAACTTGTGTGAATTAACAGATGCCTGAATATTTTTGCTGCAGAAAAAGGACATCGAAAATACTCTAACTCAGGGGTCCCCAAACCCCAGTCAGTGGACCGGCATTGAGCCGCAGCATGCCAGCAACCAGTCCACACAAGCAAGCGAAGCCCCATCCGCGGGATGCAGGCAGCATGCGAAACCATGCCCCCCCCCTCGGTCCACAGAAAAACCTCTCTCCACGGAACCAATCCCTGGTGCTCAAAAGGTTGGGGGCAGTTGATAACATACTATATTGTGCAGTTTCAGAGCAAACAAATACAGGTAGTCTTTGACTTACAACCATTTGTTTAGTGACCGCTGAAAGTTACAATGATACTAAAAAAAAGTGACTTATGACTTATATTTTCACACTTATGGCCGCTGACGCATCCCCAAGTAGTGTGATCAAAATTTAGGCAGTGGCAAGTGGGAGATATTTATAACATATTGTCTCCGATCATGTGATCACTATTTGTAACCTTCCTGACTGGCTTGTGACAGAGTCAATGGTGGAAGCCATATTTGCTTAATGACTGCATGATTCACTTAACAACTGCATTGATTCACTTAACGACCGTGACAAAAATGTTGTAAAATGGGGCTGAACTCACCTAACAACTCCCTTACTTAGCAATGCAAATTTTGGGCTCAATTGTGGTCGTAAGTCGAGGACTACCTATAAGAGACATGTCAAACTCGCAACATCACCATTGCCGGCAATGGGGTGGGCGCAGCTTCTGCGTCACATGTCCGGCCCACGGGCCGGCGGTTTGACACCCCTGACCTATAACAACAACCACAAAAACCCCCACATGAATTGCCCTTTCACCTTTCCTCACTAAGTACCGTTGATAGTTTCTTTTCACATGCAGGCATATATTAAGGCTGCAATTAAAACCAACTTGAGAATAATAGGGCTATACTGTAAAATATCTTTAAAATGATATCTTTTTTTCCTTGAGGGTAGAAAGAAACTCATTTACTATCACAAAAGGGGAAGAGACGAAGAATGGGATGTTGCCCAATACACAGCACTAAGAATTCTCTATCAGGAAACATCCAGCAGACGTTTTCCTAGACTTACAAGCATTTGTTTAGTAACTGTTCGAAGTTACAGTGTCACTGAAAAAAGTGACTTATGACCATTTTTCACACTTACAACCATTGCAGTGTCCCCACGGTCACGTGATCAAAATTTGGACACTGACAACCGGCATGTATTTCTGATGGCTGCATGGAGTCCTGGAGTCATATGATCACCTTTTGCAATATTCTGACAAGCAAAGTCAGTGGGGAAGCCAGACTCAGTTAACAACCGTGTTACTGCTGTGATCACTAAACAACTGCAGCAAGAAAAGTTGTAAAATGGGGCAAAATTCTCTTGCTTAGATACGGAAAATGTGGGCTCAACTGTGGTTGTAAATTGAGGACTACCCAATTCATGCTGAAATTGCTGATGACTATTATTTGTAATGTATTAATGATATCGAACTTCAGCTAAACTATTTTTGGGAAGGAAAGCAAACAACGTGAACAGCTCTTTTTGTGCTGCTGCCATAACATGCTGTGTAAATCCCTGAATAGCCCAACTCAGCCCCCTGCCTGCTTTTCTATATACAGCATTTTCCATTTTCTTATCTCAAAACATAAGAATTATGACTTCGCATCTTTCTTTGGGAGAGAACAATCAAGTTCTGTCAACTAATGTCACTTGAAAAAATAAATAATAACCCCTGGTTCAAAAACAGATTAAGATTCTTGCTAGCTGAAATCACTTATGGCTGGATTTACACATCACTTTAAACTATTATTCATTTTAGTGATGGTTTATTGAACAAGTCACGGGATTCTGACTCATTCAAAACTCCTCAACTACTGTGTACATAAATCACAGTGTTTGGTTTTATGCAGGGCTTTTTTTGTCATAGAACGCCCAGAACAGAGTTCCGGCACCTTGTTTGGATGGAACCTTGTAGGGTAGGCAAGGCAGGTTGTATGACGTGTGTAAGTTCCGGCACCTTTTTTTTTTTTTTTACCAAAAAAAGCACTGGTTTTATGTAGCCAAAATAGAACCCATTTTGATTCCCACTACCCATATGATCGGAGTTCAAGATTCCTTGAATTCACTTATTTACTATTAATTGGAGAATGCATGTATAGTTTCCTTTGAAATCTCATGGTATAATATTCAGGTCTCATTTTTACAGGTTGCAAAAGACTCCATAATCACAGAATAATAGACAGGAAGGGAACATTTAGGCCATCATGCCTAACACCCTGCTCAGCACAAATTAAAGCATCCTCAACAGGTATCTGTTTAACCTATGTTTACACCTACACAGTGAAGGAGACCCCTACTACCTTTCTCTTGTTATCGGGCTCCATTGTCAAATGCTTTTAACATTAGATTTTCCCCCCCTAATATTCAATTGGAATTGTCTTTCTATAATTTAAATCTGCTATTGTGTGTCACGTCCAACATTTTGGAACAATAGAAAACTGATCTTTTGGGGTCAGTGGTGATTTCTGAGCTTGCTTTTCTTCTTGCAGACATTTAATTACTAGTCTAGGTAATATCATTGATGCATGGGGAAGTTAAGTCTTCTTGCTGTTTAAATATGGTGGCTCCATTGGGGTGTTGTTTCTTTCTCAACTGCTCTTTGAATTGAGTGTAGTTTCTTCCTTGGTTGTTCCTATTCAGGTTTCAGTTCCTGCTTTTCTAAGTATTGGTTAACATGCATGTGTTATGTGACTGATTGTAACACAACCTGCATAACCTATGAAAAGGATAGCTCTACCACACATTAAAAACATTTTAAAAATTACCCCCAGATGAGTTTAAATTGTTGGCATTACAGGAGCCCCTAAATCAACAGTATCTATCCAAAGCATCCAAAGCAAACATAAAGACTCAACAGCCAAAGAAGACAAAACATGTCAAGTTACGACATACAATGCACGGACCATGAAGATTGCTATATAGGATAAATTGGCAGTACATAACCCTGAAAATCAATTGGCAGCTGGAAGACATCAGGAAAATTCTTTAATTTCACTACACACTGACAAGTACAGGTAGCCCTCGACTTACAACTGTTCATTTAGTGACCGTTTGAAGTTACAAAGACACTGAAAGAAGTGATTTATGACTTACAACCGTTGTAGCATCCCCATGGTCATGTGATCAAAATTCAGATGCTTGGCAACTGACTCATATTTATGACAGCTGCAGTGTCCCAGAGTCATGTGACAATTTTTGCAAACTTCTGACAAGTAGAGTCAATGGGGAAACCAGATTCACTTACTAACTTAACAACTGCAGTAATTCGCTTAATAACTGTGGCAAGAAAGGTCATAAAATAGGGGCAAAACTCACTTAACATCAGTCTCACTTAGCAACAGAAATTTTGGGCTCAATTGTGGTCATATGTCAAGGACTGCCTATACCAGGGGTAGGCAACCTTGGCTCTTTTATGACTCGTGGACTTCAACTCCCAGAATTCCTGAGCTGGCTCAGGAATTCTGGGAGTTGAAGTTCACGAGTCATAAAAGAGCCAAGGTTGCCTACCCCTGGCCTATACAAACACAATTTCAATTGGGAAATTATAGATGTTCTAAGCCAGATCAATCTATCACACATAAACAGATAACAAACTTCAGTACCCCATGTACTAATGATTTAACCCAGCCTGGAAATGAAATATCTGCAAGAAGCAAATGGAAGCTCAGAGAACACCAAGAGGCCAAAAATTCAACTCTCAGCTACATATATTCTCTACCAGAAAACAGGTCTCAGCCTGCTTTTCTGTAAAATCCTTTCAGGTACTTGAAGAGTGCTATTATATCCGCCCTTAATCTTCTTTTCTCAAGGCTAAACATACTCAGTTAACTCAATGCCTCCTCAGAGGTTTCTCTTTATACCAGTTTAGTTTTTCTAAATTTGTTTTGAACTGGACACAAAAGCTGAGATGGAATCTGAATAAGGCATAATAACCAAAAGGCAACTATTACTTCCCTTCATTCTACTAAGGAAGGCTAAAACTGCATTTATCTCTTTTGCTACTCTTTTGCTTTTACTCTGGTGACTCATAGTTTCTTTCTTTCTTTCTTTCTTTCTTTCTTTCTTTCTTTCTTTCTTTCTTTCTTTCTTTCTTTCCTTCTTTCTTTCCTTCTTTCTTTTCTTTCCTTCTTTCTTTCTTTCTTCCTTCCTTTCTTTTCTTTCTTTTTCTTTTCTTTTTTCTTTCCTCCCTCCCTCCCTCCCTGTTTTTTTCTTTTCCCCCAAAAAAATTAGTTAATACTTCCAGTATACAGAATGTTCCGTATAGAACAGTGATGGCGAACCTTTTAGAGACCGAGTGCCCAAACTGCAACCCAAAACCCACTTATGCATCGTCGAGTGCCAGGTGGGTGTGGCCTATTGGCTGGGTGTTGCCAATTGGGTGGGCGTGGCCCATTGGGTGGGGACGGCTGCTATGGTAACGGCAGACCATTGAACCTTTTTTTTTTTTGGGCACATGGTGGCCGAGGCCTAAAGCAAAAAGTTTTTATAAAACCCAGCTGAAGGCCTAGGACTGGGGCGATGGCGCACGTGCCCACAGAGAAGGCTCTGAGTGCCGCCTCTGGCACCCATGCCATAGGTTCGCCACCACTGCTATAGAAGCTACAGAGATATTAGTATAAGGACATATTCTGGGCTGCAACCAAGTAGATTCAAGTCTGGCAAATCTGATTAGCCTCTGCTGTTTTCTTCCAAACTCACCAATTTATCATGAGGTACAATTTGTACTGTGCAACATGATAAATATCACAAATCCTGAAGATGTCTCTGACTCAGTGTTTAAATAATGTTGGTATGCATTGTTAAAAGCAACCATTATAGCGAGGATTCTTCTAACAGACGAATGTAAGATTAATATGAACAGATCTCCCGGGGGTATTTTCACTTAGTCAACCCAGCCCAGCCCAGCCTAAACTAAATCTCTTTCCTCACTAATCTACTGAAATCGAATGAAATCTCTCACCTTTCTCCCTGTCTTCATCACTGTGCAGCATTTTTTCAAGACCTTCTTCCCATGGAGCCGATTCTCCATTTGGCACGGCTTTACTCTGCTGCTGAGACAGCTTTTGCCTGACAGAGTTGATTTCTCGTCTCAAGAGTCGAACGCGACGGGTTCGGGCACCGCTTGACCTCATGGTGCTCACCAGGTCCAGCTTTTCCAATAGTTCCTTCAGTTGTACTTCCAAGGAAAGATGAGCTCGGTTCTCAGCAACAAGAATGTTGTCAACTGCAATTAGATATATTGGGTGTGTACTATCAATTGAGAAAGTTCTCTGCATCTCAAGCCAAACCTACTCACCATTCTTACCTAGCTGAACATTATACTACATTATGGACTTTATACCACAGGCAGGAAAGGCGTCACTGAAATCTGGAATCAGTTAAATATTTTTATATAGGATACTTTTCAAGAAGACTTCTTGAGTTGCTTTACATTTTTATAAACATGTAGTTGTCTTTATTACATCAGAGATTGCTCAGAAACTTACCATCCTCCCAAGAAAAACGATAAAAATCTTCTGTCTTTGGAGATTCAGGCAAATGAATCCCCACTTGGGGGTCAAAGCCAATATTCTCAGCTTGCCGTCGTGCATGGCGTAATATTGCACCTCCAAGATCTCTGAGCCGGACAGCTGCTCGATGGAAAATTGTGTCTTTAGAATTATACCTCATGCAATTGGCAAGGATGAGGTTAAAATCTTCTTCAAATTCATCCAGTGTTTGGTACTGGTGGGACTCCAGCTTCTTCCTCATGGTAGAAAAATCCATTGGCTTGGAAATGAATTCCAGGTAATCTGGAACCTAAACATATAAAACCTGTACAATTACAAAAATCATTTACTAGCCAACCAGGGTATACCCATCATAAGTATTCTGTATGTCCTCTTATTGGCACTGGGTTTGATCATAAACTTACAAGAATGCCAGTTATTTAATTGCATTCCCTTCCACTCTGATAAACAGAACTATCTTGCTAAAAGGTAAGAGTCAATTTCCAAATTAGACTGTACTCTACTTGGGATAGTTTGGCAGCTCTTTGTGTAAGCAGTTTATTCTTCAAAAATACTTTACTTTATGAAACAGTAACATGAGATAATCAAATAACAAGACTTTATTGTTGCCAGTTGTATTTTTATATTGTCCAAGAGCTGTCAGGGTTTTATTTGATGATAAAAGAGCAATAATATTGCATTATTTATCTCTGTAAAAATGGGAGAAACTTTGCAAGAGCTGCAGATTTTGTGAAATTTCAGCATTTGCACCCCTCAAACTCTTTATAATATTTGCAAGTTTATCTTTAATTTGTGGGTCCTGAAGAAGTTTTTTTTATTGTCCAAATGATTCAATGCTCCCAAGTACTGCATTGCCAATCCCTGATGCAGCCATTCCTCTAAACAGAGCCTTCAGATCATCCTATGTATCTTTAGGTACTTGCCTCACTCAGGTTTACAGGATCTGCAAAGATCTGGGCTGGATCTTTTTCCTGCAGTAGATCCAGTGTTGTGCGCATAAGAACATTGAATGGTGTGAGCTGTAACTCCATAGCAGCTTGCTGAATCTTTACCTGAAATCAGAATAATAATACTATTTAGAGATACTAAAGACAAAAAAAAATGAGTATTTCCTTTTCACATATAATTAATGTACAAAGCTCACTCATTCATCATATAACACTATAAAAATGGACTGTAAACTAATCGCAGGGAGTTATGTATGAAATTGCCTGATAGCACATAAGAGCATAAATTTCAAGAAAGCAAAATTCTCTGCTCAACTTATATCACTTTGTCAGAATAAGACAATGTCTATTTAAAGCATAAAACAGCAAACTAAAGCAGATACTTAGCTGAAAAATGGAATTTTATATGACTGTGAAATCTAGAAATATAGCTTTGTTGAAATCCTTAACTTAAACCAACTGGATAACATATAGTTATGCCTTCCCATCTTTATGCAGTTACATAAAGGTCCATAATTAGGTAAGTGATAACTGGAGAAAGGAACATGTCATGTCTTCTCCAGGAAAGCTCATCTGGAAAGCCTGCTGTTCTTTATAACACCAAACAAAAACATTCATATTTCCCTGAACAATTCAGTTATATAACTAATTTTACAATAATGGTGTAGTTCAACTGATGTGCCTGTTTTCCTAGATTTTGTTTCTAGATTTTGTTTCTAGATTTTATCTTTGCTTTTACAATTTTTATTATTAGTTGACCATGCACCACCCAGAGAAAAATCTGGAATTGCTAACTTTTTTCAGTATGCACTGAAGCGTTTTTTAATGACACAAATTCCAATCCATTTCCAGATTTACCTTTGGCTGCAATTATATGGCAACTTAATGGGGTGTAAGTCACACTAAATAAAGTGATGTTTGATTCTGAATAAACATGCTTAGGACTGGAAACCAGCACAGAATAAAAATTATATATTCCTATTTACTGGTCTAATCAATATGAAATACTATTCATATTTATATGCCACCTTCAGTTGTTTCGATATGAGATGAGTGGCAAATAAATTTAATAAATAAATAAATCCTTCAGTACCTATAAAAATTGGCAACGCATATGCAACTTTCAGTAGCAATCAATATACAGAAACAATGCTAAAGCACCATCAAGTCATACTTCTATTTACCTGTTCACGTTTGAGTTTCTCACGTTTACGAATTAATTCAATGAGCAGCCGTGCTCTTTCTAGGTCATGTCGAAGTTTCTGCCAATATTTAAGTTCTTCTTTTACGGCGCTCGTCTTTTCATCCTGCTCCTTCTGTGGAGATAACATTTTATTGCTGCAGATTGTATTCTGTCACTTCAGATCTCTCAATTTTCTCTTTCTCTCCACAATAATTCACAATTAGGGTCTACCTAAAACACAGTATCTAATTCTTAACCATAAAGTCTTGGTGCCAGGTTGCTTATGTGATTGTCTTTCTCAGGTTGTTTTTTACCTAATCATTCAGTCCAGTAGTGGGTCCTGTTTGTTTTAGAGTGTCAGCCAGTGGGGCCCAAGAGAAGAGACTTTTCTGTTGTGGCACTTGCCATCTGGAATATCATCCCTCTGGAAACTAGGTCATCCCTCTCCTTGTTGGTCTTTTCTTAAGCCTAGAAGGCATGACTCTGTGCTTGAGCCTGGTACCCCAGATGTGGGTCAGATTCCATTTGTCAATTGTGAGGATTGAAGTAAGAAAATACTTTAATAAAACCAAGCTTTCATTGGGAGCTCCCAACATCGTCAGGGTTAAAAGCCAGTCATCGGAAACAACATGTTTCCGATGACTGGCTTTTAACCCTGATGATGTTGGGAGCTCCCAACGAAAGCTTGGTTTTATTAAAGTATTTTCTTACTTCAATCCTCCTGGTGATCGTAAGTTATTTATTTTACAATATGAATATACCCAGGAGTCACATCTTTAATATATATATTTGTCATAGAACGCCCAGAACGGAGTTCTGGCACCTTTTTTGGATGGAACCTTGTAGGGTAGGCAAGGCGGGTTATATGACATGTGTGAGTTCCGGCACTTTTTTTTTTTTTTTTTACAAAAAAAGCACTGTGTGTGTGTATAATGTGTATATAAATATGTTTATATTTATATAATTTTTAATATTGTTAGTCACCCAAAGTAATATACTTGAGATGGATGCCCATGTACATTTATTAAATAAATAAATCTGAATAGAACAGAAAGATAAATACCATATTACACTCAGGGCACTGTGAAAAGTAACTGCACTTAAAAAGTGAGAGTTGAAAAATATTCCTTTATAGGAGAAAGAAAGACTTAATAACTAATAGCCACAATCCAAGTGTTAATATCCACAATGAATAAAAGCATTGCTCTATAGAATGAGTTAACCCTATTTCCAGGCTTAAGGAATAGTTTCATGAACATATCTAATCTCATCTTGGTTTTGCCTCTTTTCTATATTATGTAATGTAAAAATTGATGTTATGCATCCATAACTGATAGTAAAGTAGCTATACAATTCAAACATCCACTAAGAGAAGATGTAATAATTTCATTACTACTATTCATTCAAACTTTCAAAATTAACTAACTTAATCTAACTAACAATAGGTATTCCAGAAAGGATCATTTTCATCTAATTCTTTCCTAAACCTTCCCATTCAGTTTATCAAACATTTCTCCCTCATACTACTCCGGCAGCACTATCATGATGAAAAATTCTTATACCAGTTCTGCATTTCTTTGGGACTGTAAGTGAGAGTGTAGCCTCCGTATCAGTGGTACACCATTTCTTGACTGACGTTTCAATAGCCAATAATTGTGCAGCCTCTGCATGAACTGATTCTTTCTCTGGAAGTTGAGTCCACTGCAGATTTTATTCAGCCTGGGGAAAATAATAGCATCAAAAGAGCTTATACCTTATTAAATCCAAATTCAGATTCCGCAAATCCACACGAGGCATGGTAACTCTTCTACTTCAGGCAATATGGACCACTCCCTAACTCTCTAGTCACATGAGCTTTAAATACAAACTATACAGTATCTCAGATTAGAGGATTTTCAACTGGAAAATTCATGCCACTAGAAACAGTTGTGCAGATCCAGTTCAGCAGCAGTAATAGTAAAATGAGCAATGCCCATCCACCAAATGAGCTCAAACGAACAAAATTTACTTCACAGTTTTAATTAACCAAAGCAATTTAGTATTTCAAAAAAGAAAATTCTACAATATGAACTTTAAGAAACAAGTTTACTTGTTGTGGACCGAGGCTATAATCAAGCACATAGCTAGGCTGTTTCATTCATCCTGAAATCTGCTTAGCAAAGTCTTTCTAGTTCCCCTCTCACAGGGTCACTGCCACCACCCACCCTGCAGGAATGCTCCCTGAGAGAGGGGAAGGAAGGCTAGACTTCGCTCCCCCTCTTCTGGCTACTTAGAAGGGACCCTAAAAGTTTATTTATTTGCTTGTTTCAAATAATATTTATTTTTATCTGCCTTTTAAAATTTCTTGTAAGCCATTTGGAGGGATTGTTTATTCTAAAGGGAAGGACATAAACAATTGGAAAATGCACATAGCTTGTGATTAGGTCCTGTTGAGATGAAAGCAGAAACCAGGGCAGACCGAAATAATGACTGGAACGGCTGCGCCCACTCACCGGTAAGAAGGGATCTGTGTGACCATTAGCAGAGGCACAGAAGCACTGCTTTCCTTTTTCACCTTTTGCTTCCAATTTACTTTGTTCTTATTTCTGGGACTGCCCCTCTCCATTGTCTCATTCTTTACAATGTCCTCCTCTCCTTCATGAAGAGTAGTTGCGTGTCCTTTTTTCATGGTGCCAGGAGGGGAATGCGCCTCACAGAAAGCAGTTTTGCGCACAGTGAACGTAGTGCCATTGAGGCTGGTCTCCCTCATGGGCTCAATCTTCATGAAGAGACCAGCTCTCTGGGCACAGGTAACATGGAAAGCAGTGTAGCAGTTCATTTTGTGGCACTGGATAGCTGCTCCCATGCCCTTCTGCTTGCAGATGTAGCAAGTTAGTTTCCAGCGGGCAGGTGGGATGTTTTCTATTCCCTCAATGGGTTCCAGAAACACAGTGTTTGCAAAACAAATTTCTGGGATCCAGATGGCACAAACAACATGAGCCCAGTGACCATCACTGGTCTGTTTGAATGCTCCACCTTTGTTTGGACACAAGACACAGTCAACAGGGTGGGAAGGGGATTGTAGGCAGCAGCGACAAAGCCATTGTCCCTCAGGGATGTAGGGAACGCCATAACACTCCTGGTGCACAGCCAAGTTGCAGATGTCACAAAACAAAATGACATTGCTGTTGTGACATTCATCATCCATGCAAACACAACAAACAGCATCCTCATCTATCATGGTCTGCTGGGCTCCATTATTACGACTCTCCAAATATGACTCTTTCTCCAGACGATCCAGTAGCAATTCAAAAGTCTCTGCGGAAATTGACCCATACCCATCATTCTTCCTTTTTTCGTTGATCATGTCAAGCCAGGCCAAATCCTCCTCATCCAAATCATACTCCACTTCAGCATCAACATCCTCGGGTGGTTTCTCAATATACTGATAGTAAGCTGAAGGCAAGGGTGGAGCATCCAGCTGGCTGAAAGAGTCAATCATGCGAAAGTTGGGCTGTGGTAGAGGGAAAGATGCTCCAGAAGCATGTTTGGTGCACGTCTCTTTTTTTTTGCCTTTGCACTGATTTTTCCTGGATTTTGAAGGAAAAAGTGGTTGTTCGCTGTTTTCTTTGTTGCTGTTACATTCTGTGATGTCCTGGGCGGTTAGCTCATCCTCTGTGATGATCTTTAGAGGATCATAAATGCTGATGCGATGGAGACGGCCATCAATATCAACTTCCACTATTCGCTGAGCCTGGGCGTATGTCAGAGTCTCTCGGGTGGGTGAGCATTTCAAGCTGTATGGTGAAGGAGAACGTCTTCCTTCTAAAGTCTGCCGGGACCTCCTCCGAGGTTTCCTCATAGCAGCAAGTTGGAAAATCTATAGGATAGTGCAACAGAAAATAATTTGAACACCACTATATTCAAGCATGTGCACATCATTTCAGTACATGTAGTCTAATTCATTACCTGACGAATTGCTTGGAGTGATTTCTAATTGATGGTTCTTAGAAACAAAGCACACTAAACAGCAGTTTAGTTAACCATAGTTTATTGAATAAAGCACAGCTGGCCAAATTTTAACAATATATAAGCTATAAACCAGGGGACTCTATAGAAGCCAGTTTGTTTGTTTAGAAAACCTACATGGCGGCTTGTCTTTACATGATCATTCTAAGTGGCTCACAAATGACATCTAATAAAAACAGAATAAATATGACCAACTAAATCTAGAACAACGCCTTTTATCCCCATTTCAGTGCAACAACATCCGATCAAGTCTACAATTACCCTTGCATTTGCTAGCTTCACTCCTATCCTAGTCCATTGCTGGGGTGAAAAGCTATATCTTCATAGCCCTGCAAAATGTTTACAAAGTCACAGGAACCAAAATTATTACTTTATATTCACAAAAGAAATCTTGCAAGATTATCTTTATTCTTTAAGAGGTTAGTGATCCCCACAGTGAAAAGATTCACATAATAGGCTATATCAAAGCCAAGCAAACCAAATTATGGTTTTAATACAAGCTGGGATCCAGGCAATAAACAGATTTTATTTAATAATAGATCATCTCACTTCCTTCAAAATCAGTCTCTCCTGACATTTTTGTAATATTCCTGAAGTTTTTGTAATATTATTTGTAACATCACAATATTCTTGGGGTTTAAGGCTGCCAATCCTTCGAAGCTGATGCTTCAAAGCATGCCAATTCTTTTTACAAATAAATGAGAATGACTAAACCTAAAAACTCATTAATACCAACCATGGCTAGATTAAAACGTCTGATTTTCAAACCATGATTCCTGAATCTAATTTGTTTATAGAATATTGCAGCTAACTACAACTAGACAGTTTCCAAACACCTCCTTTCCTAACCAGACAGCAAGTCAGACTTGCTGTGGCTTGGATATATTACACTAAACCAGTTTGTCTAGGTTCCAATAAGCTACATTTAATCTAAAACATAAGCAAATGTTTTCAAACTCCTTCCAATTGCATTACAAGAGGGGAGAAGCTGAAGAGCTTAAAACTCACTAGGATGACTCCTTGTAACAAAAAGAAAACTTAGTACTGTATTAAATGTGAGCAAAACCTTTTAGTCAAAACAAACCATGAAAACTAGGAATTATACTTTTTGACTGGAATCCAATCAAAGTTTGACTGTAATGTTTGAAGTACAGTATAGTATTAGACATCATGAAATAACAGTGCCAAATAGCTATTGTCAGATAATGCTCCTGTTAAACAGAAATCTGCCAGTGTGGATTGGCCTGCAGTTTGGTTTTGCACAAAAAGCAAATCCTGGCTCCCAGGCTTATTATTTTGAAAGGTGCAATTATTATTCAGGGGCAATTTAATTTAAATAAATGAGCTTTCTAAAGCTGCAAAACCATTAGAACTAGAAAAATCTTTAGAAACTCATTACCAAGGCGAATATGTAAATACAGACACCTAGGATTTTTTTTCCACATCAATAAGTATTATATTGGGTTTTTAAAAAATCAGTTTATAACAGGCTATTACTAGTAGAAAACAAACATTTTGGTCACTAACGTGTAAATTCGGAACTTAATGTAACTGTCTTCCAAGGGAGAATGACTATGAAGTCCAAGCTTTTCATTTTTGTAACCACATAAGATACTTTAGCTAGACTAAACATAAAGTGTTCGGCATACACAGCACCCTGAAAGACCAAGGAAGTATCCATGACCACTTTACTTTATCGAGGTACAATACTGAACTTTTTGTCTATATCAAGAGATACCCTTTTTAGGAACTTTTTTATTCTGCTTACAGCAGCAGTGACACATACATTGCTTGTTTAGGTAGAAAACTAGCAATGGGACACTATCAGTAATACAGATTTCCCAGAAAATTTTGAACTGCAAAATTTTCTGCTGCTTTAAATCAAGAGAGATCCAATCTCACATTACTGACTTCTATTTAGTATTGTCATTTTTACTTTCGTTTAATAAGCATGTAAAAAGTATCTTCTACCGATATTCTATAGCATACAAAGATTTCAGATATTTCTCCTGTAGCTAAAAGTATCAGAATTGATTTGGAAATATCGAAATACGTTGTGATTTCCACGTTTCACCCTCTCCATCCAAGTCCATTTCCAAAAGATTATGTTGGAAATTAATGTTCCATTTTAGGATTCTACTACCTCAGCAGATGGCAGCACTGAGCTGAATTAATTTACTTTCAGAGGCTAGCAATGTTTCTCAACCTGGATATTTTTCAGCTGTGAGGACTTCAACTCCCAGAATTCATCAGCCAGCATACATAGTTAGGAATTCTGGGAGTTGAAGTCCACACATCTTAAAGTCATCAAGATTAAGAAACACTGGGCTAAAGGGTGCTGCCCCTGTTTTTTAATGTCTGTCTGTCTGTCTGTCCTTCCAACTATCCATCCTATTTATATAACCATCCATATCACAAAACATGACTCTGCAGTATACCAAAAAAAACCATAAAAGGACATTAAAAAATATTCCACGCCTAAAACATTAATATTATTATTAAAAGGCTAGAGGAGAATATTAAATGTTACAATGTAGCCACATCATTAAATCACCAATTTATATTGTATGAGAACCACAATGGAATTTAAGGTAGCTAAGCTGGAGAATTGAGAAAAGAAGGTACTTTTATCACATAGTTACAAAAGCTGCCTGTATCTTGTCATCAAGGGTTAAATTCAATAAGAGAATGTCTTCTTTTATAGCATTCCATCTTCTCTATCTTCTCCCACATGGTAAAAGTTATCTAAGGATATGGACTGAAATATCAGACTATATCAGTGAAGGAGAATCTTTTGGCCTCAGTATGTCAAAAATTCAGAAAATAACAGAATAACAGAGTTGGAAGGGACCAAATCCCATTGTAACCAATGGATCAATATTCAGTTGATTCAACAAAAGTTGACCATACACTTGTGGGTAAACACTAGGAAGAAAATAACAATTATACAGCACTTCATATTGCTCTGACTATAATACTAAAGAATGATCTAAAATCTGTTCAATAAACAGTAAGTGGGCAGATAAATTCATAAATATCAAATTAAAAGATATTTATAGTACAGGGGTATAGTCCGCCTGTATTATTGAACAAAAAAATAATTTTAAGGTATCAAAGAATAGTGTTGCTGAGAATTCAATGGTTAAATTGCTTCATCAAATAAGCAAACATGAAACAGGAGAGGCCAGGGCACTTTTCTTTCTTTTTCTTCTTCCAGTCTAAGATAGTAATTAGGCAACTTCCAGAAAAAATGGGGTGGGAGGTTTCAAGCAAGATGGAAAGAGAGGGAAGCATAGTTGTAAAGTATGTGCAATATTTATCTTCCAAATTCAACTGTACACAAACTATACTTGGTTTGTGCTAGTTTGCAGATGACGGGAAACTGGGAATGATAGTTAATACTTTAGTGAAACAAGATCCAAATTATATAGATAGACCTGAGCACTCAGCCAAAATGAATACTACAGAATGCAGTAGGGTGGGTCAGGGTGACCGTATTGATTATACATTAAACATGTACCAGAAGTATGATGCAACTGCTAAAAAGCAAATACTATCTTGGCATGCATTAACAGTAGTGCAAATCCAAATCATTGTCCTTCAAAAGTAGCAGTGACAAATTGGATCAAGTTCAGAGGAAG